CACCACATGACTTCCTTATACCGAATATTAAATTATACGCATTTTTTCTTGTATTTCATTTAACTTATTAGATTGAATATAACCTACTTCGCCGACAGCGCATAAACCACAATAGAATAAATGCATTCTTTTTAAAATTCACTTTGTTTACCAAAGCGACACTCTGGCGCTAGGTTTACTTAACAGTATTATATTTCGTTCATATTATAACTCAGAATGCACAAAATTTATATCATTTAAAGAATTATCTAATCGTTGCCACATGTTCTATTCAAATACTATAACAAAGCTAGAACGATGTATAAAGAAATTAAGCAAACAAAACGAAAAAAGAAACAGTTTTTCACAGACGATTGAGTATTTCTCATTCAATTAATTCAGTTTTCACTTCGCGACAAGGCAAAAATACATAAAAACTCAAAATATCTGTATTAAAAATTACGAAGAAAGGATTAAGCATGATTTAATTCGCAATAATAAATGAAGGCGTTATTTTTGTGTTGCGAAGCTTAGTCTCTCTAGATTGGCAACAAATCTACAATTCTGCTGTTTCAAATGTAAACAAATATGTCAGCCATGTTATTTAAAACTTAACCGCACATAAACAGCTTTTAAATTGTTGATAATTGTACAAATATTGCTTCCAGAATTACGAAACGCATAAAAACTTTAACCGGAAGATAAAAACAACATAATTCAATCATTTTTTAAGCAAAAAATGTCCAATTTACAAATATATAAGAGTAAAGAAACTGAGATCACTGAGCCGGGTAACAGAGTGGATATATTTATAAATACATTTATATACGTTTGGCCCGGCCGATTGAAACCAAAATACTAGGTGCACATCTACATGTTATAGTAGTCTTATATACAAAATTTCAACGTTCTGAGGCTATTCGTTTTTGAGTTATGCGAGATACGTACGTACATACGTTCGTACAGACCCCACGACAAATTCTCTTCAGAATTAATTTTAAAGCAGTTTTTTTTTTTTTTTTTTTTTTGAGAAAAAGTGTGTTTTATTCTGTACTTACATACAGATATCACTGAAATGCAACGTTAAATTGCATTCGAAAGCGGTCAAAGTGGATATTTTCGTTGAAATATGCTGCCTGAAGCTTTTCGCGATTACAATACTTCCTTTTTACTTCGTACAAGGAAGTAAAAAAAAGGTAGGCAGTCTAATTAGGCCTAGAGGAGTACACAAATAAAATTTTGGGAAGATAGCACTTATCGTTTTAATTCTGTGGGTGTGCACAAAGTGGCACACTGATTGAATAGAGCTTCGAAAAAGAGTGCTGAAACGAGCATTGTTGTCAATGAACTGAACGATGAGATGCGGAGAACAAAGAATACAGACTCTCAGTTGTCCTAGATTATCGGTGAGGCCGGTCTGGGCACACCTAGGATTCGCCGTTTGATTTTAGGCAAGATTTCATGGTAAAAATTTAAAACTAATATAGAATAAGGAGATTAGCATACAGCCAAAAAATAACATAGACATTTCTTTTCAAACAATTCCTTTTATACCCTAAAAAAATCTGGAAAATGTCTTTGAAAAATGGTCTTAAAAAACTAAACATGGCTAAACTATATGGACTGGTTTGTGTTGAGCTGCCATCTACTATAAATCAAGAAGGTTCAGAGTAACCTAGAAATCCTTTTTCATTCAATTTTTCTGTGAGTACAGAAGGAAATTCTTAGGTGTGTCCAGACCGGTTGTGCCGCAAAGGGCTAACTAAATAATATCTTAGAAAATCGCTCGGTCGCTCGTTGCTGGATGAAAAAGCACTGTCTACTGCATTCGTAGGAATAGAACTCGCCCTGAACAGCAGACCATTAGTGTATGAGGGAGGAAATGATGATTCCGAAAAGCCTTGACTACAGGTCATTTTCTAACTGGTCAAAAACTGACAACATTGCCATCGAAACCGGAATCCGAAAATACGAAACTTATATGAAATTATAGGATACAGCAAGATTTGTTGGATACAATGTGGAAGCGATGGTAATAAGGATATCTTCTGGAATTACGCAGTTATCATGAAGTATGTAATATCCACAAATTAGTTCGCACTAGGAAAGGAGACCTGGTACGTCTACAGGAGAACGTAAGGCCTCAGCATATGTGGAAAAGTGCTCAATTGAAAGGGCAATCGAAGGCCGTGATGGAAAATGCAAATCGCGCGTACCTGCGTGTTGATTGCAAAGAAGGTGACTCGACCTGTGCAACTGGTCATATCTCTTGAGGTTGACAAGGGTAGGGATGATGTTCCGACCTCTCGATGGACAGTCTGTCACGATTTTCTTACGCGGGGAGTTTGATTTAAATTTTGAATCTGACAGCATAACATTGTAAGAACGGAATTTTTTGTTAAGAACAGTTGCATGTATAATAAAGAAAATAAAATGTGTATATAAACGCAAGAAAGGCAGCAGCTATGCGCGCTACAAATTTACTCAATGCCGTATCTCACTTACGCCAACATCTTGAAGCGTAGGCTAAAACAAATATTTTTAGACAATTTCTTTGTGAAAAAAAAAAAAAAAAAGAATGCATTATAAATAATAGGTAAGATTCTGGAACAAATTATGCGCGTTAAGTGAGGTTTCACTGTATTTCAGAAAAATGGCTTTAAAATATGTATGCATGTGCTAGGGGCGGCTAAGAATATTCTGACTGGCGTAGAGAACTTATTCTCGTCACTTAAAATTTAAAAATGCTTATAATTAAGAAGAAAAAAAACAGATAATTAAATGAATTAGCTAATTATCATAAAGTAATAAATTAATTTAAATAATAACAAATTGATTAAAATATACACAACATTAATTACCTTTCGTTCATAATGATAAATGCAATCACAAAATATTCTAGTCATTTCATTACAAGTAGTTACAAAAATCAAAGCTTACTGCTTTGAATGCACATTAAACATCAACTATACAAACTATTTTATTTAAAGATGACACATGATGTTAATACGATACACGTGATTTTCTAGTGACACAAAATAGAATATTTAAATTTTTGATTCAAATTTTAAAAAGTTTATTTTAAAAATATATGCTCATCTCAATCATTTGATACATTTAAAAAAAATGTTATGCAATAAAGCACTGAATACAACAGATAATAAAAGAATAAAAACGTATTACTATCTAAATATTAAAACATACTACTATATAAATAATAAAACATAAACTATTTAAATATGAATATAAATACTGGCAGAAGGATTGTTAAAAAATTCAATAAGAAAGGAAATTTCTTTAATATAATAAATTTTTAGGGAAAAGTTCATGTAATCTGGCTAAATTATTAAATATATTATCATTTTCTATTTAGTTTAATAAGTCAGTTTCACATTTCATCAATATAAAAGCTTCTAAATTTGACTAGGTAAGTGTATAATCGATTTTTCACATATTTTAATTCTGAAAAGTTATTTTTCATGAGCTACTTAGATATTGGTAACACACGAAAATATTTATAAGCAAAAAGGCTTCAGGCTTCTTAGTACATATTATATTTATGCATGATAGTATAATAACATTGTGGACAATTGTTGCAGCTTTTACATATAGTTGCCTGATATTTTTGCTCGATAGTTTTTTCAATTTCTTCAGTTGATCCGTCGTTTTTTCTTTTCATAGATCTAGTTTGTAATACTCTTACCCACTAAGTTTTACTGAATCCCAATTGGAAATTAAACTATCATCTTATTTGCAGAAAAGAGGATATCATCGTTCGCGGGAAAGGCCTTTCGCCAACTCGCCAAAAATACATTGAACAAGAAAAACATATCACCACTGTAACGATAGAACAAACCGAACAACTATAGATTTCTTACGTGGCATTGCACACAATTATGCATTATACTCCATTAAAAATGATGAAATTTTCGGTGGAGATACCTGGTACACGTATCTGTCGGGCAACTGAGTGTTGGGCAAACGTACCAGATATATTTTATTGGTGAAAGAGCAGTAGAAAAATTCTTTCTCTTTCTTCAAATAAGCTCTATTAAAAAAAAAAAAAAAAAAAAAAAAAAAAAAAAAAAAAAAAAAACCACTTAAAACTACATAATTTTCACCTTTTTCCCCCTTCACATTTTTATTTAGTTATTTTTCAGTATAATTTAAACATAATGCAATTTTGAAACGCAGAAAAAACTTTAACAAGTACTAACAATTATTAAAAAAAATTCTTGCACAACAGATTATAATTCATATGGAATATAATGTTTTCTTTTTTTAAATCTTGGAAGTTAACCTACATAAATCATAATAATTTTAAAAGATTTTATCACACTAACAGAAAAGAAAACAGAATTTTTAAGTAAAATCAATTATATTAAGCAACAAATATGAAATGCAAAAACTTTCATTTACATTAACCACATATATTTATTAAGCAATACTTCTTTGATTCTAATAACAGATCTAAAAAAAAAGACTTCATTCCAGTGAACATTTATTTATCATTATAAAAGTCTAATTTCATAAAACTAAGCATAATACAGCTATTACAATTAAAGAAAAACTTCTGTAATTTCACTGTTTGGAAAATTCCGAGAGATATTTAGCTTGTCAACTGCGAGAGTTAGAATAATAACTAATGGTCTATATGCTTAGATTTATGTAAAAACTCCCCAAACCAACAGAAATTTCTTCATTCAGAGAATAAATTTTTCTCAGAAATTTCTTTTTCCACTGAAAATTCAAAGGAAATTTGAACTTAGGTAAGAACTCTGGTAAAGAAAAGGGTGAATGACAATAATAAAAATTCTAGAATAGTTAGATTAAATAATATGGTAATACCTTAACAGTGAAAAGTGCTTTAGAAACAAATTAAATATTATAAAGTAGAAAAAATGTAATACTAAATGAAAGATGAAGTAGCAAAAATAAAAAAAATACTTAATTTAGAATTTTCAATTTTTAAAATAATAAATTTTCAGGCAGGATTCTTTAGTAAAAGTCAAAATACTTGCGCTAAAATTTCTTTAGGTTGCAAGATGACATCTTTTCTTCCACTACAAGAGTCGATAAAATTATCTCTGTCGTCTAAGAATTTATAATAAAATATTACAATTACTAATACTTTCAAAAGTTAAGAAAGGGAACAAAAACTTTTCCTGGTATTTCAACAGAAACTTACCATCTGAGTGTGATAAATTAGATTTGCGACTAGAAATTGAAGATGTTGGGGATCCAGAAAATAACACATCTGGAGTTTTTACTTGAATGATTGGTGAATCCGGGCCTATGCGTTCAATCTCAGTCATTAATGGGCTATTGCTTTCACCTTTGAAAAGAGAAATAATAAAACAATACATAACTTTAAATCTAATGAATTTAGGATAAAATAACGCCTAGAAAGTACTATAGCAATTTTAAAATGGCAATAATGTAACATGACCTGAAATGGAAATTTAAAAATTTACCACAAATATAAGAATTTTTGTTTTAAATATTTTTAATACATAATGCATTTAAATACACTTTAGACAAAAATTTTGAAACCACAAACGAATAGTATTTTCAAATCCATAATCCATACATCATTAAGATGTATTAAGCGAAAGAAATTTTTGATTTTCCAGAGATTCGGTTTATCAAACTTCTACTAAAAATGTACAAGAGCAAGTAAGCTCCTGAGTTATAAATTGGATTGTTTCTCAGAACACTCTTAAAACAGACCCTAACGAACAAAGTGTATAATATAATACTATATTAAATGATGATACTAATTTGTAGTGTTTCAGTTGTAAGATCAACAGATATACTAATATAATAAAAATCTATCAGTGGTGATAATAACAATAACAGAACATTGTATATAAGTTATAGATATACACATAACATTATTCAGTTTCTTACAATTCAAACAAAAAGAACATAACAAATTCAAGTGAAAAATTTAAACAACAGACAGAAGAAATTAAACAAACAAAGGTTAAAACTAATTTAATGTTGTATCTATATTTTATTAACTGGAAAACCATTTTAAAGCAAGAAAGTGACATTAAATAGAGAATTATGATAATATTGGAGAGGACAGAGCGAGTTCTGAAAAATTAAGATTTCCTTCTTTTGCCAATGGAAGGGTGAGCAGCTTGTTATAGAAATTAAGTTTGTGAGAAAGACATGAGTTTTTTAATACCTTTTATACCTAAGACAAGTATCAAAACTATGAGATGAAGACTGTATTTAATATATGTCTTTCATACGATTGTACACTGAAGTGAACAAAATAGCAATAAATATCGATAGCGATAAATATAACAGCAATAAATACAGGTTGCATCGCCGAATGCAAAAGGCAACCAAAATTAGCATAAAACGCAACTCCGCAGTCACATCACAGTGCCTTAAAAAGTGGCATGCAGGATCTATACGTCAGTTCGCAAGCAGCGATACTTACATATGATTCGAGATAGCCAAAGCGGAAAGCATGAGCCGAAGACACATTTACACGATGAAATGTGTTGGAGGGCTGTCGAGATGTTGGAAGATAATCTGCTGTTCCGAGAGAGCAGAATATGCTTTGCAATGTCATCAATAGCCGTGGAATCGTTACCAAAAGGATCAAAACCTCTGCAAAAGACATGGGTCTGAACGCTGGAGGATTAACACAACAGCAGACGATCGCTTCCTGTTGCTATGTGCAAGACTGCGTATATCACTAACAGCACGAGAGCTGGCGTCGTATCGCTCTGCTGCTGCAGGACGGCCCATATCCCGCCATAATGTGTCGCGTTTACTGCATGAAGGTGGATTGTACGACCGACGACCTGTGGTTTCTATTCCTTTGTTTCTATCGCATGTCACAGCGCGGTTGAATTGGGCTATGACGCTGGATAACACACTGTGGAAGCAGACGTTTCCCTCTGTAACGTCTGAAACGTACTCTTCCATTACTGTACTCCAGATTGTAGCGGGATTCACGTGTGAAAACAGCTTGTTACCATAGAGCATTCCACGTACTGTGTTGCTGTGCCCATTGAAGTCGAAGGCGTCTTTAATTCAGCGATAAAGGAATCCTGCGTAGAGGAAACCTTGCACGCAGTTCATGCTGCAGCAGACGGCGACGAACCGTGGAGCTAGACAACACAACACCTGTAGCCGTGCTCCAACGCTAACACACGAGAGGACGCAATACGATCCGTCACAACCATGCGGATGAGGTGTCTGTCGTGCCGTTGTGCTATTCCATGTCCCATTGCCAGGATTTCGCCTTGTTTGGTTTTCCTCTGTCCTTTCTTCCAAACACGCACTACTGTTGTGGCATTACGCTACGTGCGAGTTGCGATTGATCGATAACAAAGACCACCTTCTCGCATCTTGTTCGAACTTCGTTAGTTGTCCGCTGACAAGGCATATTGACTACTAATTAAACATTCAGCTCAGACAGAGGACGACAAACAGATATCAACGCAACTTTACAGTCCTTTATATACACCCTTTATATATAAACATGCGGTTCTTATTCCACGCGTGCGCAATCGCTTTGTAATTCTAATCATTTGCATGTCTTACTTCACTTTACATTTCCTGTAAGTTTGGTTCAATTTGAGTAATTCCTTCATGGTGTTGCAATTTTCACAAATATTAGTGTATATATTATAGAAACTTAATATATTGTTGTCATTAATATCAATTTTATGTTCTAGCACTTAATATGTTAAAGAATTAAATCATAAAAACATGCGAAATACGAAAGTAAAAACTCTTAGTTACACTAAGAAAATAATAAACAGCTACGAAATTTTAAAAGGTTTAGTTGTAACTGCCAAATAGCTATATTTCTGAAATTATAATAAAGATATGAAATAAAATGACACTTATTATCATTGAATGATATTGCAAGATTTGGCGAATAAGTTTACATATACAATTTACATGCACAAATAAATGACTCATAAGCCTATCATTGAGCACTCATTCCCAAAATAACTCAGCAGATGAAAATGGTTAGTTGCATAAATTATTCTGAAAACAATGAGCAATTTTTCACCTCTCCAAAAGCAATTTTTTTTAGCGCAAGTTCCTACCAGTATGCTCATTTTAAAAATACAATTAATTACAATTTATTTAATTTAATATTAAGTAATTATGATAATGGTAGAAAACTTATTTTAATAATTCAAGGTCATTGGAGTTTGGATAATATTTTACCTTCTTAACTAAAAATTAAATAAATAATCTTCCCTTCCTTTATGAGATGGATAAGCCTCTTGATTGAATTTTGTTTTGTGTCTTTTCTGAAAATATAAGACCGCAAGGGCCACAGAATGAAAAACGAATTAATGAATTTAATGTTAATAATGTAATGGGCATTTTGTTCAAAAGTTTATGATAGTAATAAAATAACAAAATTTTTTAGTATTGTTGATAAAAAAATAAAGAAAAAATTCCCACTCTGATGCATAAGAATATATTAATGAAAATTTTTTAATAATATTTTTCTTGATGAATTAAATGTTAGAATTTAATAATGTATCTGCTTTTTTAAAACCCATACCAATTTTTATGATTTCAGAAACAGATGTTTCACTGATTTCTGAAATGTACTCATCACTTTGTCTTCTTGCTTGATTCCTGGATTTTGAATCGTTTTTGTTGTTTTTCTTGCTTGAAATTTGCTGATCGTTTAATGATGGTACAAGTACTTGCCTGCTTCCCCAGAAATATACAGCATTTTCTGAAGTACCTGCAATAGTGAATGTATCTCCACATTGTACCATCTGGAAAAAAAAAAAAAAAAAAAAAAAAAAGATAAAGTCTCAGCGAAATATTTCAAATGGAAAAATAAACAACTTTTTAAATCATCGGTTTCATATGCAAAATCGACATCCAGATGCAACTTGCTTAGACTAAAAACTTAATTCATACAATTTGTTCCTAAATGACATATAGTAGTTTGACATATGCTAGTTTGTAAGCCTTCCCATGAAATCATTAAACAGTTAAAATGCAGACCAGTCAAAGACTCTACAAGCATAAAACAGGCCAGAATTCGATAATCTAAAGACATTCATAGAGTAACCAGCTTCCATATCCTTGAAGACCGCATACCCCTGAAATGATGGATCTATTGCTTTACTAAATTTCGATCACCAGATTTTAATTAATTAAATAGAACTGCTTAGCTTAAAACTTATTTTTCCTAGTCATACTATTTATTTTAAATCGATTTGTATGCAGTTTAAAATAAATAATATACCTAGAAAAGAGGATTTGAGTAGATGTAGAGAGTTGTTACAACTTTTGTTAAAATTCTAGAGACAGAAATTTAAATAATATACTGAGCATTGAAAATTACAAGCTGTCTCTGAATGATATCCCATATATGAAGCATGTAAAAACAGAAATTTAATAAATTAATACATATTTTTACTGCAGTTTTAAATATTATATCAAAAAATATGTTTTAATACAACAAAAAAAAATTCTGAAATTTTTTTTATGGAAAAGCATGGATAGTTTTACTTAAAATTGTAAGTTTTTGCATTTTCAAACCAAAAACACATATGTTGTATACCTAAGCACTGGATTCTTAAAATTCATAATTTGTAGCAAAACTAAAATCTCTATTCCAAATCATTTTCACACCTCATTGGTAAATGTACAAATTATATGATGACTCAATTATTAATAATCATTAGCAAAATATTTATATAATTATACAGTCTTGCTAATCATTAATTATGCAATCTATCAAGTTAAATGTTACTATTTACTTAAAAAATAGTATTCTAAAATTTCTTTTTGAAGAATTTTCGACGTAGTAAGATCTAATTAGAATCTTATTCAATCAAATATTTACTAAAGTCCAATTTTTGTTTAAATAAATAATAATACAAATACAAATAAAATTTTATAACGGTAGTATATGTAAGTAGCTTACATACTGTAACTGTTCTGTCTCCCATGGACTTCACAACAGCAGGTGATGAATGATTCCTCAAGTTACCTCGTCCAAGTTGTCCATTTTTATTGCATCCAAATGTAATAACTTTACCAGGTTCAACTAAAATAGCAGTATGTAATGCTCCCATAGACACAGATATAACTTTCTGACGAAGCCACGCTAATTTTACAGGAGTGGTTTGTTTTGCAACTTCAGTCTATAAAAGAAATTAAATGAGGCATTAAAAATTATATAAAATGACTATACTCTTTCTGTAAGAACTCCATAAGTACTCTATTCGCATAATGGCACACTCCATTTTATAAATAGTAACTTCTAATATGGAATGAGCCAGTATGCTTATAGAATGCTCATGGAGATTATTACAGTATTCAATTTTAATGAATTCCTAATTTTACTTATTTTTACATTAATTAACATAAATTACAATGTTTGGCAGTCGATTATTCGCAAAATATTGAAATTAAGACTAAAGTTGTGGATTTTGGAAAATGATGAAAAAATTTAGTCATCTGGAAAAACTTTTACTTTAATATGGGCTATGGTCACCTCGGACAGATATGCATACCTCTCTTCTTCATTTCATACACTCTACCAAAGTGTTGATCAAGTCTTGTGGAACTGCACGGTACTCTTCTAAAAGTACACTTTCCAACTCCTAGAGGAATTTGGCTTGCTGGAATTCGTCATCTTAAGGCATACCACACATGCCCAATCGGGATCAAGTCGGGTGAGTAAGTCGCAGTCCATTCGAGGGATAGCTTCTTTTTGTAAGTATTCTGACACCACATATTCTCGGTGAGGCCGAGCATTGTCATCCATTATCAAAAACTCTCGACCGACAACACCTCAGAACCTCCTTGAAAGATATGCAGCTCGTTGCAGCCATTTCATGATTCCTCCCCAAACCATTAAACCGCGGTCGCGGAGCAGGTATATTTCACGAATAAGGGACGGCAAGTTATGTGTTCCTTCCTCTATCCAGATCAAAACACGTCTAGAATCACTGTTCAGATTATATCTGGACCCATCAGTAAACAATACTCGGGTCCAATCGTCTTGACTCTATTAAACATGATGATAACACCAGTTTAAACGGGCCCTTCAGGAAGCTGGAGTGAGGTGGGACACAAACCATTCTCGTAAAGCTTTCATGCAGCAATAGAACGGCTAATTCAAGTTCCTGTGGCAGCCTGAAGGTCTAAAACCAAATCTCTTGTACTCGCTTCGCGGTTTCTTTGAGCCGACAACGACAGAAAACGGTCTTCTGATGCATTTGTTGCTCGTGGTAGCCCTTGACCAGGCTTTATCAATTGATCTAGTGCTTTAAAAGCTACTCCAAACTCTTGATATGACACCTTGAGGGATATTCAAATCTTGGAAGACCTCCATTTGTGTTTAAACTCCTTCGATTCTACTAATTATTCGCCAGTTTTGACCTTCACTTAAATGACGTCTTTGAGCCATAACTGACTGAATACTCATCAATCTCAGACACCACATTCACTTTAAACAACACTACAGACACGAATTCCAACATGCGTCCATTGCGCACCACATTATCAATCACTGAATTGGCGTATTTCCGGAGCTAAGGTATGCGCGGAAGGGAAATTTTGCGTTCAATTGTATTTAATTAACAAAAATAATTACAGCATTAGGCATTGGTTGCAACATTAACTTAGTGAGCATATTTTTTCTCCTTATCCCTTAATTCTGATGACCAGTGTACTTACTGCATCCAGTACTCATGAAGAACACGAAAATCACCTTAAATTAGTTTTCGAAAGATTAAATACCTTTGATTTAAGAACAAATATTTCAAAATCTGTGTTCGCTGTTCAACAAATGAGTTTTTAAAGATACCTAATTACACTTCAAGGTTCCCGTCCTTTGCCAGAAAGAGTTCAAGCTATTATCAACTACAAACGACCAGAAACAATTCATGAACTTACAAATTTTCTTGGAATACTTAATTTTTATCGTCGTTACCTAAAAGATACAGCGAGAATCAAGCATTGTTACATGAATACATTAAGGGAGCTAAATAGAGGGGCAAACGTAAAATTGAACGGACTGAAAAAGCTGGAAAATAGTTTGGTAAGTGCAAGAATGACCCGGTGAACGCTACACTGCTGTTTTTTCCTAATTCTGAACTACCTCTGGCGTTATTTACAGATGCTTTAAATACGGGAATTGCTCAGTATTGTAGCAATACGAAACCCATCTTGGAAACCAATAGCATTTTTTCCAAAATATACAATACTCAGCAAAAATATAGCACTTATTATAGAAAACTGTTAAGTTAGTCTTTCAGTTAGACACTTCAAGTATTATACAGAAGGAACAGTATTTACAATTTATACAGATCAGAAACCTTTAATATTCGTCGCTCGTCAAAATCTTGATAAAGCAGCACATAGAAAAGTCCGCCAACTTCATTATATTTCCCAGTTTCAGACTGATATCAAATATGTAAACGGTAAGAATAATATTGCAGCAGATATATTATCTAAGGTTAATGAAATTTCATCAATAGATTACGATAAAATATCTGATGAGACTCAAGATGAAGAACTGAAGAATTTGCAAACCACTACTTCCTTGAATTTAAAGCAATGTTCTCTACTTTTGGAGAAATATCTGTGGTGTGATACATCAATTAAAAATATTCGGCCGTATATCCTTTAAGCTTTCAAAAAACAAGTCTTTCAACAAATTCACGGGTTATTACATCCCGGATAAAGTCGATTATAAAACTAATGACATCAAAATTTATTTGGCCCAACATTGGGAAGATATTGTAGTTGTCAACGTGAACCTGCATTCTTTCACAAACAGCTAATCAGCCCGCATACCAAAACAAAATTAGGCGAGTTTGAAGTACCACTAGGAAGATTTTCTGTAACACATATGGATCTCATAAGATTAATTCTCCCATCCAAAGGGAATGTTTAATGTCTTACTTGTATTGATAGTTTTTCGAACTGGATGCAAGCAATACCTTCAGTTAATATTTCAGCTGATAATGTCGCAAGAGAATTTCATAGCAACTGGATAGCTTTGGATAGTTTTGTAACGCCAAAGAAATTCATTAGCGATCGCGGATCCTAATTCAAATGTGACACATTACGAGCTTTGTCCAAAATTTGTGGTATCAATTTGCAGCGTATTACTGTCGATCATCCCTCATATAATGGCAAAGTTCAACGTCTTCATAGAACATCAAAAACAATATTAAAAGCTCACAACAACCTGTCTTGGACAGACAAATTACCAACGATACTTTTGGGGAAGTTTTTCGACAAACCAAGTATCCAGAAAGCATCTGAGATTTTTCTAATAACACCCAGAAACAGATGGATGTCATCGAAAGAAGACAGATTCGTAAAAATTCATCCGAACACATATTTGTACATTAAAGACTTAAAAACTTTTCTCATGTGTTTCAGCGAACAGATTGAGTGAAAATTCCTTTAGGACCTTCTTATGAAGGACCATTCCCTGTCATTGATCGCAAAGATAAATATTTTACTAGTAACAAAAAAGAAAAACACGTCAATGTACCCCTCGGTCGCTTGAAACCGGCTCAGTAAACAAATTCTAAAATTCAGTAACAAATTCAAGAAGAATTCTCAATAAACAAAACCTGACTACAAACTGCAGAGACCGGACTTAAATTCAGATGTGGATCAAAAACATTATCGCACAGGTACAACTATATGTTTACCTGTTAGATTTATGGATTGTATCTAAATTCTTCTGGCAGTGGTTAACACTGCAATGCTAGTCACTACCCATTTATCCACCTTCGTAATGTAACTTAATTACTGGTGGAGAAGTAGTGTACTGAGCCAGTTAATTTCATGAGTAATAATTACTTTTAATTTCAAGTATTTTATACTTTTGCACGTGTTTAATTAGTTTTGTTAATATTCATATTTCTTTTATGCTGAATGGCAACAAGTAGTTATTCCTGATTATCTTGTTTCTGAATTTTGATTCTATTGTTATTGTTATTCAAAGTAGCAGCTGATTTTGATAGCTAAAAAATAAATGCAGTGAACTTAGCTATTAGTCGGTGATTCTTGCTTTTTCTTAATTTTAATTCGGTTTGAATACAGGTAGTCAAGACTACAGGGTAAAATTCCTATAGGGAAGTGGGAAGTCTGGTTTGCTATAATGCATCAGTTTTGAAGCAGATGGCTATGAAAACGTAGTACACTGTTTCCTCTCTTTTAGTACTACTTCTCAATTTCATTCCTGAGAGAAACAGACTAAAATATAGAATAGAAGACCTGAAGTGCAATTTTTCAAAAATAGCCTCTCTATACATACAAAGCAATTTTAAGCATAGTTATTAGCCATATAATTCTTCTCATTGCTAGATTTGTTTAAAATTCATTGGACACTGACAAACGAAACACATAATCTCCCTAAAAATATTGTTTCATTAAACAATTTTGATGGGGGACTTTTTCCATAGAGAAGGAATGCAGAAGTTCTAACTGAGTATAAATAATTGTAAGCATGGTTATAAGCCATATTTTTTTCATTCCCAGTTTTATTTAAAAGTCACTAGACATTGATAGAACGGATAGAGTAAAAAAAAAAAAAAAAAAAAAAAAAAAAAAAAAAAAAAAAAAATCCCAAGAAGTTTTACGGTCCCATTAAACAATTTTGATAGGAACCTTTTGCCTTAGGGGTAAAAAGCAACGCAGAAGCCCTAACTGATTTATCTCCACGCACTATAATGATGCCCCACTGACCAAATTCCTCAGAACATTAAAAAAAAACATTCATTTTAGCATGCGCTATAAACTTGACATTTTCTGGGTTAAAATAAATTAATCTCAATGACAGATATGCATTAAGTATATATTTTACGCCCATTATACACCACAGGATTAACAATGTAAGACTTTTAGACTACATTTCTGCACACTCATTCCACCAGATTATAATTGCATGCTTTACCAAAGTAAGAAGTAGGACCGCTCCTTCTTGTGCTACCTGTATGAGATTGCATTTGCAACATTTTATTGACACGCAAATATTTTACTAAATGGCACGTTACATATAATTCAACTCAGAAAGATGGTTCTGCCTTAGAAAAGGCCTCCTAGTATTCCCAATGCGCATAATAATGGGTTTCTACAAGCTATTAACATGTAGAGTTTAGAATCTCATGTAGAGTGTAATATCACACTTTAGAATTCTAAGTTAATGTTGGAAGTGAAGAATCTAAGAACTGATAAGCGAATAATTGCTTGAGTTCGGTGACAAGAAACAGCAAGACAAAAGGGTAACTAACCGTTTATTAATCCAATAAGATTTAACAAAACTCCGCCTGGGAGTGTACAAACAAAGCGCGCACTTGGACTTGTACTTAAAAGACTAAGAATTAAACTAAGATTAACTACAGAAGTATAGCCGAAGCTATCAAGTTTCAAATCGAGCTGGCCACTTAACTTATTTGACTACAAAGCTTAGCAAGGGCCTGAGTACGGCCGAGCGTAGTAACAGCTTTGAGAGAGAGAGTGGCCAAAAAGGCAGACGCGCGTAAATCAGAAACTCTGCAGTAACTTCGTGGTTTAAATAACGCTCCTCCTCATTAAATATTCAACAAGATTCCAAACCTATGTTCTGGCCGGAAGTAGTAAGTTGAAGTTAAGAATTTGACAGGAAAGGAACTTTAACTTAAAATTTAACTATTAATAAAATTAACATAATCCTTACAAGCAAAAGATAATAAACTAGCTTAACAAAAAAAATTTTTGGACATGCTGAGGTTGGCATAGGCAAAATTTTTTGTCCATATGACATTATGTCACAGGGATATGTTTGTCCATATGATAGGGCTATAAAGTAACATGAAATTATTTAAGTGAAATAATTAAAAAAATATGCATTGAAGTTCCCTCTCAAAATGTATTTTTATTTTTATCTATTTATTTTGCTAAATACAGCATCAGTATAGAAAAAACTAAAATAAACATGACCAGATAAAATGTTTAAAAGGTCTCAACTGACTCCTTTAAAAAAGTAAGTCAAAAGAATAAATTAATATAACGTATCTTATTTGTTTCACTGAGTGAAAGAAAGAGGCAAAGCTGAAATTTGTGTGATACTAGAATCTTCTTAAATGAATGTTTTGCTTCTTAAGGCACATTATTCTAATGTAAACATGTGGCTAATGGTCGGAGGTTGACTTTTAGATTCTAATTTTATGCTAATTTTAATGAATTATTCATAAGTGTGCAGTAATTAAAAGAAGAAAAAATAGGAAGGTAAAGTTCTATTTAACAAATCTTCAAAACGTATTATTTGGCTTAATATATACTTCAAAAAATTATAAATCCAAACACTATTAGAAAATGTACACGGTTTCTGAATGTAATGAATAAATGCAAAGATAAATTTTATTATAAAAAAGTGACTTGTTAATTAATGTAAAAAAAATGCTGTTAACTTAAAAAAAAAGAGGAGGAGGCTTCTGTGAAAATATTAGTATTAAGAAAGATGGTTTTTCACTAAGCTGCATTTAAAATACTTAACGTCACTTTCTTACTTAACTAACATCACTTTCGAGTTAAAATGATAGAAAATTTATCTAGGAAATAAGTTCTTACAATGTACCTTTGCTATAAATTGCTTCATTTGTACCAAGAACCCTCTATGTTCATTTAATCCTAATTTATTATAGTCATTCTGACCACAAGCAAGTAATGTGCCTCTCTCTGTTATAAACATAGTGCCATCATAGCCACAATAAGATGTCACAACTTGCACATCATTTGGAAAAATAATTTCTGTAGGAGAGCAGCTAGAGAAAAAAAAAAAAAAAAAAAAAAAAGTAAAAAATAAAATTTTGGATGAAGGTAAGTAAACACAAATTGCTTACATTCGAAACATATCTTAAATTTTCAAATCATACCAGTCATCTTCACTACCAATTCCAAGTCTACCTCCTGCTCCACATCCCCAGGCATATGCATCACCTTCTCTACCAACAACAACAACATGGTGAGAACCACAACTTACAGCAGATACGTCAACACTGAGGAAGAATGATTTATTTACTGAATTAATTGTATTGTATTTACAGTAAAATATGTTTGCTAATCTAAATTATTCTTTTCATTTTGAACATGTTATAGTTTTCATATGAATAACAAGTAAATAAATAAAATAAAAAAACAAAATATGGCATTAATTTATAGCCATATCAGTTTAAGTTAGATATAAGTTGGAGTATTAATGGTTGTCATTAAATATTCACACTACTTCCTAGGTCAACTGAGAAAGAAAACGTATCTTTAACGGGAATATAAAATAAAATAGTAGTATTGAATATAACATATGCTACTAGCTGACTTTAAGGTCTCAAAAAGTGATACGGATTTTATTTATTTTAAATGTAACTTTGCATGTTAAACGTAACATGATGGATAAAATTTGCGATTTAGACAACTATGACTGAGGACAAATAAATTATCAATTTTTAGTTTCGCGTAAATTACCCAAAACTCAAAATCGAGAATTTTTTAAAAATTTATCAGGTAAGCTTTGATAAAACCTTCACTTAGGTTTGTGTAATACCAAACCTGAAAATAACAATACTTCCAAATATGTTTTCAGCGATTATCAGGATTTCAGAACGGATTTTCCATTACCACTATCATATCATGATAACGCAAACCTGCACTTTTCCGATGCAGCACTTAGCTTTTCATAACATTAGTTAACATGAGTGATTAATGCAGATTGGAGTAAAATATCTGTGTCTTTCTTCGTTTCAGTCGGTAGTGTGTGTATGCTGGTAAAGGTATGTATATTCGTAAGAGTTATGCTGTGTTACTTTTTTACAATGTTTTGTTTATAATAAAATATATTAGCTGATAAGAAAATTATTGAAATTAACAAACTAATGCAGATCAATGCTATGGAAAAGAAAACTCTAGAAGCATTTACATTTCCAGAAATATACGAAAGTTCCTTTTCTTAAAAATAGCAGGTGTATCATAGTTTTTATTTCTATTTTGTTAAAAGCTGAACTTGTAAAATAAAAATTTTCTATTAGTGTATGATCAAATAAATAGATTCATGTTTTACATCAGATTAAAAAGAAATATTCTGAATCTAAATGTTTATCCCTATTTAGCACAAAATGTGTTTATTTACCTTATAAATTTAACCAAAACCATTTTTATAACAGTATGTCGCCTTTAAACTGAGTAAAAATGCCAAGTGTATTTTCTGATGGTATTGATATACCTGCGAAAGAAGTTCTAAAAACCTGAAATGTCCAAAGATTTTTACAGCTGAGCACCATGTGATAAGAGTCTCCTTTGATATCTCTACATCAGTTATAGGTTAAGGGGTGTTTTGAATAGAAGAAGGTAATGTTTGTGAAAAATATACTAGTTCTATTTTGAAATGAGAAATAATTCGCTTTTTGTCAATTAAGGAAACTTGTAGTATTATTAAATAGCATGTCAGTGAAAGACATTGGGGTTGCATAGTGAATTAAAGAAGGTACTGTATGGAATTTGAACAAACAAGGTAAGGTTATAAAAGCTAGCATTAAAAGAAAAAGCTGTTCAAAAGACGTATGTTAGAATTAAAAGTAAGATGTTAAAATTTAAAAAGATGCAACACAGTAAAACTAAAGAATACTGGTAGTTCACATTTGGAAAATAGTAATTTGAGTACGATACTAAAGAGAGTTGGTTTCAAGAATTTCTTTATGCATGTGATGTAGAAAATTGCTAGTTGTCCCTAAAGGTTTTCCATGAATGTGGACATAGATGCAATTAGTGCAGGTAAAAGGTAAAATTAGTATAGTCAGTGTCTCTAAAACATGAAAAAATAATAGTGTGAGCAGTGCAAATTCATTTGAAGTATTGAAATGGTAAAAAACACATAAAATGGAAGATGCAAATTTTTGGTAGGTGTGGATGAAACACTGAATGTGGTTGAAAATTAGAAATGAAAATTATGATACACTTAAAGGTATCGAGATTTAAAACTAAACATGATTTAGAAACTTTGAAGACCTTAAAACTATATGTGAAAAATAATTTAGATATTAAATGGTATTAAACTGTAAAGTTGTGATGGAAATTTCTGGAGTAAACTAATGATCATTATGATCGGAGAATAAACAAGTATTTTAAAAATTGTAAGGAATGTCTCATACGTAGTGAAAACATCCATATTGTTAAAAGGTGTTGATGACTAAAAGGGAATAAATGTTGGAATTATATGATGAGAAAATAAAAGGAATAATAATAAGTTAACTAGAATTATGACATATGAACTAAGAAGGGATTATTAACGTAAAAAAGCATTAACAGTTAAAGATTTAAATAAAAAAAAATTCGGTAGTGTAAGGAAGATATGTTAACATGTGAAAGAATTAGAAATTCTGTAAAAAATTAAGAAAAGAACTAAGATCATGAAAAATAAACATTTCCTTTTAAACAGAATTAAAACAAGTGAGTTAAAATGAAAGTGTGTATAGAAAACTAGAACGGTTTAAAAAAATAGACACACATATACAAAGAAAAAAAAATGTCAAAAATTATGTTTTAAAATTAAACGATGTAATAAACAGTAGTTATGTAAACGAAGTTAAAATTCAAAATATATTGAACACTATAACGTTAAGTGTGAAATTGCATTTAAAATTAAGTAATGTAACAAATAAACAGCATGTACAGGAACAATTACGTTTGTGAAATAGAATATATAAGTTAAAATTCAGTGTATGCTGAAATTTATAAAAGATATGAAAAAAAATAATATGTGGAAATTAAATAAAATATTACAAATTAGAAACGTGAACCATTAAAAAATATGACAGTAAACAAATATGTTATTATGAACAAAAAACATAAGAAATAAGTTAACGTTTCATGGAAAACTAGAAAGAATAAAAGTATCAGAATAAAATTGAGTAATAAAAAAAATTATGATTTAGTTTCATTTTCATGACATTATGCATTGTCATTAAAGGAAAGTTTTTTAATATTTATTTCTTTTATATTGTTTTCAGTGTCGTGCGTTGAATAATTGCCACGCCCCTTGATCCTCTTGCCGCAAAACCCCCCATTATTATACTACTTCAATCTAAAAATTTAATATTTAACTATCAATACGTTCAAATTGCTAACAGTAACTATTAGAAGTTTCTTGCAGGCGTCAACCTCCAAACTGAATTTAAAAAAATTTCCTTCGGTTAAAAAAACAATTAGGGAGGGGGATTTGACCGGTTAACTACTTTTGGATTGTGCATTCGGCCCACATGCAGTTTGAGTCTGAGACCATTGCCTTCCCAAAATGCACATCAGTTTTGAGAGAATTTAAGCAGAGGTTTTTCGAATATTAGAGACGAGAGCTTCTGGCACTCGCGCTGCGCTGTTAGAATGCTCGCAAGCTCTGTTTAAAATTGATGGCTTGACTTTGGCATTCTCTCGCTAGCCGATACTTTAAATTCTGGCGATGGTAAAAAATTAAGCCAGCTTAGAGCCAATTTTTTTGAATGTGCAGTCCTAGACTATGTAATCAGCATTTGAATTTTATTGTTTGTTACTGCTTAATTTGAATAGGCATGAGTGATAGTTTTATCTGTCGCACAAAACACGCTTTTATGTTCAGTTCAGAATAAATAAAAAGTTACTTAACTTTTAAAATGCTATAAAGTTTGGAAAAGTTTCACTTAAAAAGATGGGAAATAGGAATGCACTTCCAACCTTGAATTGCTAAGGGAATTACCAAAGTCTTTTGAAACCTTTCCTTTAGAGGGTTGCCTTTGTTAATTTTCAGATAAGAGACAATGGAATAGAAAAGAATTTTTTCTCTTTTCTGCTGACTTTTATCCCTAAACTAGGGAAACCCAGGAATTTTCTATTTTGTAGCTGAGTTATTGTCGACTGATGAAAAATTAACTTTTGAAAACATAGCCTTATATTGGAAATAGGCCTTGAAGCAAGTATTTCTTAGGCATGCCTAAAATCTATAAATATTCTACTGAGTTTTAGTTTGTTTTTCAAAACTGAGTATAGTTTAGAATTACATATTGATCAAAAATTTTAATTTATAAGCAAAAATAATGTTTAACCATTTGCGTCTTTCATAAATTGGCAATTCGCATTAATTTTTTATAAAAATAGAGTAATAATGTAAGCTTTATACACACAATCTGTCCCAAAAGTTTATATACTCAACTATATTACCTGATTTAGAAAAATGGAATGGGACGCAAACACCAGATAAAAATCTGTTTATTTACATCACATGAGAGTTGCATTCCAGTAAATATTCAACTGAAATAGCAATTTATATTTCAGAAACAATTAAAACACAGAAGAACATGTGTCTCAAAAGTTTATGGAATATCAACATTTTAACAAATTGTGATCAATTTCAAATTTGTTAATACTTCAAATACACATTTCTTCATAAAGAGAACTAAATTTTATAATAATTCTGGTTTCAAACTGAACCATGTACTCTTGATGGCTGCTTCTAAGGAACTCCTTCATACGTTTCAGCTGGCTCCAAAAAGTGAGCCAATCTTTTTTTTTTTTTTTTTTCTTTTTTCGCCCCAGAACAATTTCAGTTCACTTTTACGTAAACGCAGTTTTTTGCTATCTGAAGTTGGAGGTGAGCTAGCAAAACCGATTTCATACGCGACAAGTCTGTTTTCTGTTCATATTCCTTGACGCTTGCACATTCAAGTTTAATTCATCATCAGTTTTGATTTCGTTTAAAATTTTAGAGTCAACCTCTTTTAATTATTAAGCAAATGGTCTAATGCAGTACATTTAGCTTTTATAACTTCAAAAATAGGTTTTTATCTTTCTAATTCATCAATGAAACCATTAAAAGTCTTGCAGAATTCAACCCTTATCGGCTTTATTTTTCTTATAAAAACATGCATTTTTTGCACTAATTCAATTCCCCAAATAAAATTTAACTCAATATCTTAAATAGAAAATCAATTTCACATTATTTCCAAAAGATAACATCAGGTGGTCACTAGAACGTTGAGTTTCAGATAAATTTACCTTCATCCCAAAACAAAAAGAAACATAATTTATTTTCTTCTTTAAAAGGGGAAACAACTATTACAGCAAATACATTTTTAACATTCTATTTCTTTAAAATATCAACTCTCAAAAACTAAGCTTATTAACTAAATTATTTTCATGTTGCCAGATTTTACATCTAACAGATTAACATCCTAAACACATAATACTTGATACACGGGCATTCAATTTTAAAAAAAAGTCTTATCATTCCACAGTATTAAGAATATAGAAATATATACAGACAGTGGAAATGAAAAGGATAATCAAGCAAACTGCAAGATGTAAGTCGCTCTTTATGATCATGATCTTCAGACTCTCAGCTGTATCATACATAATCAGCTACAGCAAACTTTAACTCATGTGACATCCAACTGTATGATTCTTTCAGTAGATAGTCACTGTGAAGAGCTCGCTTACCATCAGCCCTCAGAAACCAAAAACCTATGACAGCACCACTTCTCACTGTATGCTGTTGCACTCTCACATGCGTCATAGAATATTGTAACTGAACCATTGATGACTGGAAGCAAGTAACATGGAGTGATGAGTCTCAATTCTGATTGGGCCATGCTGACGGTAGGCTAAGAAAATGATGCCGGTTGCAAGGCTATGTTAAAACACTACAATGTCAAAGCAGCTCAGTGATGGCCTGGAGTATTGATGTCTTTGGTACTTGTACTAGCATTCCCAGTGCAGCATCTGAGACATGCATCTGTTGGATGATCACTTACATCTGTTAAGTTTTTCTGTCATCCAGGCGGAAATGAAATACACCAACAGGACACCTGCTCCTATGACAGATCCCGATAACAATTATCTGGTCTAAAAAGCATTTTATTGAATCCTTCCTGCTGAAATGGACACTGAGAAGCCTGGACATAAATCCCATTCAACATATTTGGGATACTCTGGAAAAAGGCATGCAAGTATATTATGCACCAACAGCATCCTTAATTGAGTTATGGGAAATTCTAGAAAATGCTTGGAAGGCACACTTCTAATACACTTTTGTCAAACCTATGTCTCATTTGTTGCAGCCATTATCATAGCCAAACGAACAGACACTCATTACTAATGAAGCATGCCTATTTTCCTGACACTTTACAGGAGACAGGAGACCACTGGGTGAGCAGCTGTGCCACCATGAAGACACTTTACAGTATTACAAAATATTAATTCTTAAAATTAGAAAATAATAAAAAGTATAGAATAGGAAAAATCATACTGAAGCGACTGCACATCGGCATTAAAAGGATATGCTTTTTTTATCTCATAAAAAAAGTAAAATGTATATAACATAAAACATTCAAAAAAGATTTATGAGTTTATATATCCTGCTTCTGAATATTCTAACTATATCTTAGAGAAACAAAAGCTACAAGGGCATAAAAAATTCATCTTTGAATTTTACTTATTCCTAAAATTATTTTGGGATTTAAATTATGAAAAAGGAAGCAATACTTAGTTACCAAAATTTTGTTTATAAATTTCATTATCTCTAATTTCATATAATTTAATTTAAGTAAAGTAATTTCCTTGTAAAGTAATTTAAAAAAAAGATTCTCCTTTCCTGACTGTAAAACTAAAAAATATTTTTAACTTCTTTTTTTTGGGGGGGGGGCAAGATTTTTGCAAGAAAGAATTAGATTTAATTTTTGTTTATTACAAGCTATGAACATTTGCAGGTAAGTTTTATGACGAATTAAAAGGTAGAATAACAAGTTCCTTTTGAGTAAGCTTTCCATACTCTGTTACTCTGACTCCTTTTTATAATGCAATAACACGTTAATATTGCTCGTTTGATGCTAGTCTTTTCTTCAGGAACGACAGCAAAATAATGCAAATGTATTATTATAATTTCTAATTTATTCACCATTTATTATAATAACCAATTCATTATTATAATAATCAATTCACTATATATTATAATTTCTAAAACTAATGACCAATATTTCAGCAAGAATTTTGAATAAAAATTATGCAATTATTTTAATTTTTTTTAAAAACAAATTAAAATAATTGCAATTTAAAATTACAGAACACAGCAAAAGATGGACAAATCTTTCAATCTGAATAATATTAACGGAAATTTTTTTTATCTTTCCTTCAAAACTTGCAGTTATTTTAATATCAATAAATGTATCTTGCTGAAATTTTAAGAAATCATTTTACTTCACAGACTTCCAAGGATGAAAAACAATGTTAAAAAATATTAAAAATGAAACATACCTTAATAATTTTTCTATAAGTTTTGGTTTGACACACATATTCCAATCACCATGGCCAAGACATCCTTGGGATCCATTCCCGCAAGTCATCAAAATTCCATTATCACTAGAAAATACACTAAATCCTTCTCCGGCACATATTCTGTTAAAATTATACATTTAAATTTTAACTGTGGCATGTGAATGATAATATGGCAATAATTTTTATGACAAAAAATTGGTCATTTGTATTATCTTAAGTAAAAAGATAATAATATGTTAAGTCGTATCTTCATTTGCAAATGGAAATCTGATTACAGTTAAATGTCAAAAATGTGTGAAAAAGTAATATTTGGGTATTATCCTCAATTACACTTTTTGGCATTTATAAAAATTTTATAATTTTATAAATGTTATACTTTTCATCTGAACTATTCATACCACAGAGTTACTTATTCAGGTATTATTTGTTATATTCTGTTATATGAAGTCGTTGTTGACACAATTGATGTGGGACTGCGCAGCAAAATCGTATGCCTCTTTAGACAAAGCGTCGTTGTCAACTACGTCTACAATGAGCCAGAGAATATCGAGACTGGACCATGGATAAGTGGAAGATAGTTACCTGGTCGGATAAATCATGATTTCTCGTTCATTACGTCGATGGTCGTGTCAGAGTACGCCGCCTTCCAGGCGAACAATTGCTCCTCTGTACAACAGGTCATACAAAGGCTGGTAGTGGCGGTATTATGTTTTGAGGGTCGTTTTGTGGTAGAACAGAATATGAAATCTGCAGACTATTCTGAGCATAACTGCTGATTAGTTGCACCTTTATATAGCGTCTGTCTTCCCAACTAGAAATGGAATCTTCCAGAAGGACAACGCCTCATGTCATAAGGTTCGAATTGTGTTGGAGTGGTTCGAGAAGCATAAGAATGAATTCCAGTTATTATTCTGGCCACCTAATTTGTCGGATCTTAAACCGAGAGAGCACATTTGGGATGTCATGGAGCGGCAGCTCATTGCTCAAACAGCACCATGTTGGAATATCTGGACTTTGCGTGACTGCTGCTTAGACATTTCGTATACAACCTGTCTCTAGTCATATAACAAGAAATTTTGGCATCCATGCCAAGGCGAGTTGCAGTTGTTTTGCAGGTTAAAGGTCGCGCAATGCGTTATTCAGTAGGTGGTCATAATGCTTTGGTTCTTCATGTATATATATATATGATAAAAATAGTTATTAGTTATTACAGAAGAACTATCCAAAAGCATTATCAGATATGGAAGTTCATGCAAATTAAGTATTAAAATATCTGAAAAAAATTTTTAATTGAGATATGTAAATTGGGAAGATAGAATAAATTTTTGCTTAACAATCATATGCAAATTCAGAAGTCAAACAACAAAAATCAGCGTTATATTTTCAAATTTTCACAGGACTAGTTTTGATGGTTTTACCAAACCACCATCATCAGCTGCAAACCTGCATCGTCAGCCGAGTGTCTTAATCATATGCAAGTTCAAATGTTTTTTAAAACGTGATCAAGGTATTTCAAGCTTCTAATGTTATTCAAGGCCTTTTTAAGTGGACATTTTTCTTCTTCTTTATTTCAAAAGCTATTAATCTGGGACTAATTATTTAAGATCACCCCATTCCTGCACTGCTTATCTTTACGTCTAGATGCTAAATGCATCCGCAGACATATCAAACTGAATATCACCAACATATGGGTGTGCATGTATCTATAACATAATGCAAATTACAACAAAAAACCAAAGCAAGAAAGAGTATTATAGAAAAAGCAAAATCCGTACCTGAGTCATTACTTATGGACTTATGGAGTGGTGCATAATTAACATTACAAAATTAAGGATTAAAAGTTATTTATGGATCCAAATTTCCCATTTCATTTTGTTGCTAAAAATGGAGCCAAAACCAGTGGGATAAGATATGGTTAAAATGGTAATTAAATGCTTAAGAAAATACAGAATAAACAACATGTCAATTAAATCTAATACAGATATGATTGATAACTGCAAATACTGAGATCCACAAATAAAAATATTAGGGGGGTTTAAAAGTGAAGAAATTCATTAAATTTCAGTAACCGGAAATTGCTGTCACTGAATCATTGACATGGTATAGGGTATTTTCTTCCATCTTTCTGCACGCCTTCGTAGTGTAACGGTAGCACACTCGGCGCGTATTCGAGAGGTCCATGGTTCGAGTCCCAGCGATGGCACTGCCCATTTTTCACGTCTCTAGCATCAAAATAACCTCGTAAAGATCAAAATATTCGCATAAAGATTTGGAATTGCAAGAAATATTAACGACGCTTTAAGAATAAAAGGAAACAAAACAAGATAGAATTTTGACCAAAACTATATCACATTAACAAACGTGAAAGAAAGTAATTTGATAATTAACTCAGCGATTTTTATAGAGGTAATGTCATGCAGTTTTTTATCTACCTTTTCCTAAACATTTTTACGCTGTATTTTTCATGAAAAATTATCAAATATGAGAAAAATAATAAAAAAGATTAATTTATTAATAATCTCTGTTAATTAACTATGTAAATTTAAAATTCATTTAAGTGCTATAAGTTGCATTAATTTTCTACTCATTTTCAATTTTTTAAATGCTTAAGTTTCCTTCTTACTTTTTCAGTAAACATTTATTAGTTCATTCAAAAATATGAAACATAAAAGTAAAAATACCCCTCTTTCCTTCTTGCGCTCATTATGCGAAAATGAATCTACAGCTTTTAAAACCTGAAAAATGCATGTCTGCGATGTTATCGTCATGCAATGATTTGAGGATACTTTATTTTTTACCACGATATTTTCGATGACAATGTTTTTAAACTTCGAAGTTTTTGAACCTTTTTCGATGACGATATTTTGTACCACGATATTTTAGAACTGCGATTTTAGAACTCTTTGCTTTTTTTTTTTTTTTTTTTCCCCACGATGTTTTGTAACACAACGTTTTCGCCCTGCGTTGCTTTCTCCGCGACGTTTTCGTCTGCGATGTTTTCGGCGGACACTAAATAACCTAATGACTCTACAGTATTATGTTATAAGCATGAAAGTTGTATCAGATGTGAGTAGAATGAACACTATAAAACAGACCTACAAAGCAGAATTAGAAGGATAATGTGTTAATGTAATTCGATACAACTGACCTTCACAGGCACACATAGTCTGAAAAACCAAAATTTGAATGGTACAGAAAAGAGTTAACACATTTTTAGAATGATTTCGAAAAAGAATTAAAATAAGAAAATGTTTCGGAGTAAAAATTCTTATTACTTGTATTTGAAGTGAGGCCCTTTACTTTTAAATTTATGCTTCTTTTAAAATGTCGCAAGTAAACAAGACGTGGATTGAAGAATAAGTTTTTGCGCTTTTCGAAGAGAAATACTCTTGCTCCATAATTCAAGAACATTGCAAAACGCTTGGCAATACAATTCTGAAGTGCAAAATTAGCAATATTATTAACCAGAAAGGTAAAAACTGTCACTCTGCATGAAAAGAAAATTCTAAATGAATAGTCGAGAGAAGTACATACTATCTTAATGCTTCTAATGTTAAATAATTGGCAACAAAAGAAATCCATAGACTTTAATGGCAAAGTGTTTAAATATATCTGTAGCAACAATAAATAAAATAATAAACCAAGAGCTACAATTTTAAAATGCTAAAAACATAATGGTCACTATCTTTTGCAGAGGCATGTCGCTCAACGCAAACCAATTTGTAGAACCCTGTATGAAAGCTGTTTAGAAGGAGATAAATGGAAATATACTGTGACCCTTCATGAAGCATAGATTTACCTAAATGACAGCAAAAAAGATATATTTACTATCGCAAATGAAGAGAAAAAAATGTACAAAACTGATTCTGTCTCTCTCCAAAGAAAGTTTCAGTAAAGGATTTATCACTGCCGCAGTAATCCCTTACGATGGGAAATTAAAAATAAGAAGAGGGAGAAAAAAAATGTTCAAATGAATTCAGTGTATTACCAAGACAAAGTTTTGTGTCCGATATTTACGAAAAAAATTTCACTTCTTTACCTAATGACTTTCAAAGAGCAAAACTTCAAGACAAAGCAACAAGTCATAGTTCGAAAAGTCCCACTGCATTTTTTGAAAAACTGAAGACCGTATGTACTGCATATATACATTTTCGACGTATTCCAGCAACGTGCCCTGACATTTCACCTATAGGCCATTGTGTCTCTAGTTTCTTGAAAAGAGCTCTCTTAGAGAGCATCTAACACGATCGACGGACTCTGAAATGTAGTAAAAGAGACATAGAAATCAATACCCTTGCGAATTCCCTCATGGAAAAACGACAAGGCATTAAGAAGAAAAATGATTTTTTGCATAAAATTTAGTATATTTTTTTAATTCAAAACTTTTTAAATCTTATTCTATTTGATTCTTGCTATTTTAAAAACAAAATATTTGAATAAAATATGAATAGTATTATAAGAAACTAAAACTAACTAATCATGAACAAGAGGAGAGAATAATCAACTTCCATTAGTACCTAGTACTCCGAGCACCTGAAGGTAGAAGATTGACTTATATTTGCTGATGACTCATATTTGCTTTTGAATAACTAAGAACCAGCTTATGTACTTGGAAAGCATTACAGTCAAGACAGCGAGCTTGTTTTACGAAAGAAGACAGTAAATGTAGCCGTCAAGGATAGAAATATAGCTCATCGCTGTCGCAAGTCAAAGAATCCGCTGTTTTAATGACCCTTTTGACCTTGAAGAACTGGAAACAGCTATAAAGCAACTTGACTCTAAGCGGTCTCCTGGCCCTGTCGATTGTACGAATTGATGATTACACGTGGTAACAAGAATTACTTAGTATATTTAATCAATCCTGGAATAATTGTAGATTACCAACGGGCAAGGAAAAGAGCTACTGTGGCTCGATTAGGAAAGTCTATAAACCCGCTGGTACTCCGGATAGTTACAGACCTGTTGCGTTGACAAACTTTACATACAAGATTTTTAAGAAACTTTTATTGAATTAAATTATCTATCACTTGGCAACTAATAATCTTCTACCAATAGAACAATATGGTTTTTGAAAAGGACATAGTACTCAAGACCAGATACTGTATTTACTCAGTATGTGAGAGATGCTCATAATAAAAATCCTACTAATCAAACCATAGCGGCTCTTCTGAATTTCAGCAAGGCTTTTGACAAGAGTACGAAAGAGCAGATTAATCAATAAATTATATGAAAATTTTCCCATCGATCTTTTACAGATATACGATTTTCTTAGAAATAGAGTTTTTAGTGTTAAATATAATGGCGCTCTCTCTAGTAGATACCGATAAAAACAAGGGATCCCTCAGGCTCTGTTTTGAGTCCCAACCTCTTTGCATTATAAATCTGTTAGCAATTGTGATTGCAAAATTGGTTTAAGCATTGGCAATCTCGAATCCAGTACAAAAAATTCAGTTCGGAACATTTAAGACTTTACTAGGGTCGCAAACTTAGTTTCAATCTTCTTAAATCAAAAACTGGGTTCTTTACGACAAAGAGACAGGTATATAATTACAGTTCGAAAATTTTCCTAAATGGTCACTTCTTACAGTGTGAGATTGGTTTTGTCCTTGACTCTGAAATAACACGTAACAAGCACATCGATCTACTGGCAACTGGAGCTAGAAAGAGACTGAATATTTCGAAATTTATTTCTGGCCGCAACTGGGCCGCAGACGCCGAGAACCTGAGGACATTTTACATCTGTCTCATAAGACTGATTCTTGAATATGGTTTTCAGATCTATCTTGTCGTCTCGGATACAAATGTTCAAAATTGGAAAGGGTACAACCAAAGCTGTGGAGTTGGAGTCGGAATCAGAGACGAGCAGATTTTGGGGTAAAAGGAGTCGGAGCTGGAGTCGCTAAAAGACAGGTCGACTCCGACTCTAGTTTTTGTTGGACAGTTTGAATTTGAAATGAACTGAAAAAAATTAATGAAAAGCTGAGTTATTATTTTTATTTATAGACTATTAATAAATATTTATTTTCTATTTTATTCACATATTAATAAATAAATATAAGGAAGGAGGATGGATGTGATATTTGCCATTAGTGATTAAACTGATTCATTTAGTTACAAATCTCCCTGGTAATTTAGGTAAGCAACAATAGCAGCAAGAACTCCCAAAATTGATGCCATTCTTAGGAAGCGAGCATGAAAAGGAGCAATTATTGATCAAGCAACGTGATAAGGAAGTACATATTTAATGATAAAGAGATTGTTAGAAATAAGAACTCTTTTAGAAGATGTAGATAACCCTAATGTTTCACTAACAGAAAGACTGTGGAATGATCTTTCTACACGTATATAGCCACAAAAAAGCTACTATCCGAAGAATTAACAGAAGGCGAGAATGGAAGAATGTGATGCTTGTTCATTCTGAAACGGAGGGTTTACTGCAGAAGGAATCATTTCTTCAATGAAGAAAAGAGAAACTAGTTTGCTAGACAATCAGATCTTGCTGAGTTCAATATATGTAGATCTGAAACACCAAATTTTCTTGGATGACGAACAAAATTAAAAAGGTAAAGAAAGCCATCTATGAATTTTCACTAAGAATGAAATTATTCTCAGAACAATTAGAGAATTCGATTCAGGACAACCAAACTGCAGACGTTGTAACTGAGTCTCAATCATCCTCTTCCAGTGATGAATTAGATTTTAAGAACTATTTTTGGATAATATTAAAAAGGCTAAGGCAAAGCGAATGAAAATAAAGAACCAAGAGCCTTTAGATATAAAAATGAAACAAATCTTCTGCATTGTCTTTGAAGAAATAGAGAAATATGATTGCGCTAGCAAAACACCTCTTTTAGAACTTATAAAAATCTATCCTGAAAAGTTAAAAGAAGTAGCTCTAACAATAACAGGTCTTCCTCCTACCCAAGTTAGTGTGGAAAGACTCTTCTCAGCTCTGAAATTTATCAAATCTGATCTATGGCCCTCCAACAAAGAAGATCTTGCCGAAGCTATACTGCTTCTCAGAAATTACTAATGCCAGTTTTTCCATTTCATAATAAATGATAATTAATATAAGTAATTTGCTATGACATCAATTTTTTTTTCTTTAGCATCTATTACTTCTTTTATATTAAAAAATAAGCTTTAATCCATGCTTATATGGTTACATACATATATATATATGAGGGAGTTGGAGTCAGAGTCTTTAAAATTCCGGAAGTCGGAGGCGGTCATTTTCCCTACCGAGTCCACAGCCGTGGGGACAACGGAGAGCAGCACGCCTTATTACAGAACTTTGCAACAGTATTCCAGCTACAATCGTTCACTACGAGAAAAGATAAAGTGCAGCAGATTACAGTAAATTAAGAGTTTCGCGAAGTGAATTTTTTTTTTCGAAAACTGAAAAAAGTGCGGCAAGATAAATTTTCGAATTTCTTCGAAATTTTCTCAGCAAATTTTATAAAATTTGAGTCGTAGAATCGAAATATGGAAAACATGTGCCTTGTCGTTTCAGAAAAAGTTTGATTTTGTGTCAAAACATATATGTTAGAACAGCTCTATATATAAATCAAATATATATATACTAAGTCGCGCTTTCGAGATATAAAAAACGCAATTTGAATTTCGCCAATCGGGCAATTAGAACGGGAGATGTAAAACTATCCCTTTGTTTATTTATTTATTTTAAAATTTATTTTATTTTCTGTAATTAATTAATTTTTTTGAGTGGGTGTACATACTATTTCTAATGCTTATACAGTTAAATCTTTGGTTAAAAAAAAAAAAATCTGCCGACGCAGAAATCAATTGAATGGGTTTTACCTACATATGCAGCATCAATAAATTAAGATTTACGACTTAGAAAAGCTAAACAAATAATGTTCACCAGCCTTTCACAGACATGTAGTTCAATGCAGAACAATTTGTACAGCTCTGCATGAAAACTATTTAACAGGAGATAAATGGAAATACATTCTAGCCCTTGATGAAGCATGGGTTTACCTAAATGACTGCAACAATAAAATTCTATTTATTATCGAAGACGAAGAGAAAAAAGTATACAAATCTGGTTAAAAAAAAAAAAACAGTTAAGGATTTATCACTGTCGCAGGATTCTCTTACAATGGGAAATTAAAAAATAAAAAGAGCGAGGGAAAAATGTTAAAATAAACTCAAGGTATTATCAAGAGAGAGAGTTTTACGTCCAATATTTTCAGGAAGAAATTTCATTTCTTTATCTTTCAAAGAGTGAAACTTCAGCAAGAAACATACTTCGAAAAATAACACAGCATTCCTTGGGAAAATGGGAAATAATACAGGTGCTGTATATATATTTCTACGAATTTTGTATATATGTAAATAATTTTGGTTACGTTTTGTATAACGTAATATGAAAAATCTGAAAGCTTAGCTCTGCCGGGAAAACAAGATTATAGGGGCAAGTCTATTTAACAGTGAGGTAAATGGCTATCTCGTTAAATTGGCTAGATACCGCCAAGCTGGTGATGTTTTTGGCGACTAACTTTTGTCGCCTTATTTGGAGAGAAATAGCCAAAAGTCACTAAATTGCCAACCATCAGGCGACATTTTGGTATGAAGGTACTAGAGATTTATCGGCGGCAGGGGGAAAATTATATAAGACCAGAGAGAGCATCAGCTCTCAGTTGTTAGTTCAGAACTGACTTCGAAGTATTGAAATCTCCGTGAGAGCTTCGTTTTTTAGATGTACTTTGCACTGCGTTGTGCTTAACGTTCTTAGTAGTTAAGTGTAACTACTAATTGTGCTCTGTGAAACCGATAAGAGATGTACGTGTGCTTTTGTGAAAAGCTCTACAACTGTAAAGTGTTTCTTGTGGGGGGGGATTATCAAGCTATTGTCGGTTCTGTGTGCATTCAAGCCATTACGAAATCGTACGCACGTAACAGTATCTTTTCAATGTGTTGAACTATTGTGCATTTGGTCTCTAAAAAAGAGCTCAAAAGCGTAAACCTACCACGATGGATGAACTCGGGAAAGTGGTAGAGGATGAATGGAAATTAATACCCTTGGAAAATTTACAAAAATCCCTTCTTCCATAAAAATCACAGTGCATAATTTATAGTCCAGAAAAAGGTTATCAGATCGAGCATTGAAAAAAAAAATACACTATACATTTTAAACACTAATTCAACGGCTCCGAAATCATTCAAAAAACGTACAAACACTCCCTGTCAATCTGCGGACTTTTCCTTAACAAGTTTAATTTTAGAATTTTAAATATGTAAGCATGAGATTAATATTGTGTCTACTGACCACAACAGCAGAGATATCATTATAAAAAGTGTTATATAATAATGTAAAAGTATACTTTTTCATCCTTGTTTTGCTAATGTTTTAAGCTCTCAATAAAAAATTCATATGAAATTTATTTTCCATCATATCCTACACAAAGAAAACTTTTGTACTACATATTAATTATTTTTTGTTTTACTTACAATATACTCTTGTATTTTAATTGCAGTATTGAATACAGACATAAAAATAAAGAAACGACACATAATTAAACTTTACCTTGTAATATTCTTCCCCTTTAAAGCATCCACACATAAAGGCTTTTCCCTCCAAGTTTCCAATTTTCCATGCCCCAGTTGACCTTTCCTCCCATCACCCCACGTATACACTAAAAGTTCAGATGTTAAAACTATCATATGGGTAGAACTCAAAGCAACCTGGGGGAAAGCGGGGAAAATACATGTCAAAGTTACAAAATTTAAATAATTTTAAATAGATTACTTTATTTTAATGAAGAGAAAAATAAGAGCTCATCAGTTTAATTTAATATGATTCTCTGAAAGAATAAAATTGGTGCAAAGAAAAATTTATAACAAATAAAGATAAAAAAAACTATGATAAATTTAATAAAAGAATCTAAAATTTAAAAAGTAAGTAAATTCACGATTCACCAAAATATAACGTGTCCATCAAAGCCAAATTATTCGGCCTTTGTTTTCTAAGCTGTTAATCGCAGGCACACAACTCCAATCACAAACAATTTTAAATAATTTAAATATTGCTGTTTTGGCACTTTGAAATTTAGTGAAATCAATTTTGTAAAATTTACAAATCGAACTTTTTATACGCTTTTCATGTCTCTACACTTATATTCAGAAAAATTAGCACTCCTTACAAAAAATAGAATACAAAATGTTTGACTCCGGTACAACAAAAATTGATCAATATATTTGCGATTTTTGATGTGTCATTCAATTTGCATTGAGGGGTCGGATAATAAATAAATTAGAATATGGTTGTGCTCATTGGAATATGGCAAAGCACGCAAGAGATAACTGCCTAAAAAGAGATGCCTTCGTGGAGGACTTTTTAAGGGAAAACTGGCTCGTATTCACGTTACGCATGAGGAAAGCCAACCACGTAGCCAGCGCCTTTGCTTGGATTCGAAGTAACGAACTACCAGTAGTCAGCGGTTTTTACTACTCGGCCACAGGGTAGAGACAAATAAATTATAGTATGAGGTTGATTTTTCATCTCCTTAAATGTCTAATGCTACTGCTTTGTGCTTTTCTACTATCTTTTAATTTCTAATTTTTGTTACATTCTAAAAATATGAAAATAAGTTATTAATATTCATGAAATTTTATTACCTTAGAATCATACACTGGTAATCGCAGAAAAAATTTATTAAACTACGAATTCTTAATTAATGCAAATAATATATTACGAATTGGCTGCATGGCAATAGTGAAGCATGTAAGTGCTTTCTAGAACACAAAGTCTGTAAAGTTCGATAAATAAGATCTCCATTTTCAGAAAAATGTAAATTAATCAATTCCATAATCTTTAAGTCTTCTCGATTTCTCATTTTAACACCCGTGAGAAGCTCAAATGGAGAACTCTTTGTGCTTCTGCTCTTAGTGCTGTTTAAGATCCTTTGTACATTTCCAACATATTTTTACCACTTGGTTGGATCATCTATGGATAATTTGCATAGGACTGGAATCAGAGTGAGATGAATTTTTTCCACTTGTCCATTTCCTCTAGGAACGCCTGTAGTTGTAAATATGTGCTGGATCTTCTCTTGACTACAATAATCTTAAAAGTCTTTAGAGGTAAACGCCGTACCGTTATCGCTTATACACCCATGTCCATAAATTAAGGATAATGCAAAATCAGGCAAAGGAAGAGTTAGAAGCAAAACAAATTTGACTTATTTGTAAAGCTTATTTATTAAACAAAAGGTAAAGAGCAAAAAAAAAAGATGCTATATTGTTGATATTATAAAAAAAATTACCGATTTTTTCTCCATGGAGCAAATTACAAAAAACACCTATTTACAAAAAACCAATATTACATGGTTGGTATGATTGTTAATACATTGTATGTCTCCCAGACGATGTAATACAGCCCATATAACGCCTAGGCATGCTGAGTATCAAATTATAGACCTGATCTTGAGGGATATTACACCACTCAAAAAGCAATGCTCTGCGAATTTCCGGTAGACATGTAGGAGGTGGTTGACGGGCTGCAATTCGCCAGCCAAGAATATCCCATACGTGCTCTACTGGACTCAAGTGCGATGAGAATGCTGGCCAGTCCATACGGGTGATATCCTCCAAATAAAGGCATTTGCTTACGATGTTTGCACGGTGAGGACGTGCGTTGTCATCCATAAACACAAATTGTGCGCCCATGGCGCCCCGAAACAAACGTACATGTTGTTCCAGAAGGACGTCCCGATAGATTTGGCTTGTCGTGGTTCCAATTTAAACATGCAGGTCAATTCTGAAACCCAGAATAATTCCTTCCCAAACGAGCACTCCTGCACCACCGTAACGGTGTCGTTCAATGATGTTTTCTTGAAGGTGACGGGTACCTGGAGCGCTCCATATGAAAGTCCGGCGACAATCATAACGCAAGCTAAACCCGGACTCGTCGGAAAACATCAGACAAGCCCACTGTTGCGGTGTCCACAATGCATGCTCTCTACTCCAGGCTAACCGCAGGCGACAGTGAATTGCAGTAAGTAGAACGCATCTGACAGGTCTACGAGCATATAGACCAATCTGCCCTAAGCGTCTCTACACGGTCTGCCTTAAAATTGTCGTACCAATGGCTGAAGAGAGCTGACGAGACAGGTCTGAGGCTGTGCTCCGCCTGCTTCTTTTGACAGTAACTGCCAAATACCGGTCCTCATTCGGCGTTGTAACTCTGGGGCGATCTGTGCTGTAACGTCTACTCACATTACCATCATCTTGGAATCGTTGCCAAAGCCTGGAGATGACACTCTGGGCAATTCCAAGTTCGTCTGATACTTCCAGTTGGATACGCCCACATTCCAGACGGCCGATAATTCTACCACGTAAAAAATCATCCAAATGCGTCCTTTGTGTCATAACTATTAGGTTATTGCATTGAAATGCTTAGAAAGCGCCTGCGAACAATTTTACTTGACTGACTGACTGGCTGATAACTTATAGCCAGAATACCACTGAGATCAGTAGTTATCTGGCTCAATCAAATTTATGCCGGATGGGCACAATAACATAGAACTATGTTCACATAATGTCCGCAGTAAGGAGGAGAAGACGGAAAAAGAATAGGAAGATACAACGCAAGAGCTCACTATCAAGTAACCGGCCCGGTAAAGGAGTGACTAAGTGGAGTCATAAAATGAGTGTAGAATGTGAAAAACTAGTGAATTTAAGAAATACACAGTAAAAAATGAGTAAGATACAAAATTAAGAATGCTAATAAACACATGGGTACATATTTACAGGTGGGGCACTAGGTGGGAAAGTACACAATTTTACTCTTTGCCTGTATTCCTTATATATCACTCTCTTACTCTCTCATCATTGTGAAGTACCATCGGTGTCATTGGTTCCTGAAATTTGCATATGATTCTTGAAGATGTGTATAGTGATTTTACAGGTGATATATTTATTTTAGAGTTCGATTTCCGCGTGACTCCAAATTATCCTTAATTTATGGACATGAGTGTATTTCATTTTACATAGAATGTTTTCATCCTTTTTAATCAACTGTGAACTATTTATTATATTACTTCCTAGTACGAAGTAAAAAGGAAGTAATGTAATCGACAAAAGTTTCGGATACCATATTTCAACGAAAATATACATTTTGACCGCTATCGAATGCGATTTAACGATGTTTTTGTGTGACATCTGTACTCAAGGACAGAATAAAGGACTCTTTTTCCCCAAACGAATTATAAAACTGAATAGATTCAGAAGATATTTTTTTGTGGCTTCTCTACGTACGTACGTATGTATGTATTTCGCATAACTCAAAAACGAATAACCTCAAAACGTTGAAATTTTGTATGTGTTATAACATGTACTTGTGTACCTCCGTTTTTGGTTGCAATCGGCCGCACGAAAAGTATATTTAAGTACTTTAAAACAATTTTCGGAATTGAACTTACTAACTATGGATTCACTATTTTAAGATAGTTCTACTAAAATTAATCTTAGGAGATATTATAATCAATATTTCTTTAGTAAATACATTATTATTAACTTACTTTGCAGCAATTGCGCAAGTAGTAGAATAACTTGATTTCGTACTAAGTGAATTTAAGATCATACAACATTTGATATGCATATATATTTATATATATACAGTGGTGGCCAAAATTGTGGACACTTTTGGAAATTTTTATGTTTTTGAACTTTGTATGCTTATAGAAAACGTTACGTTTCACAAAATGCAAACTTGTATATATCATTTTAAAGAGAATTTATTACTGAATTCATTACAAAACACAAAATTCAATTATTTGCAATACAAAAAAAAGTTAAACGATAAGTTATCGATATACATTAGATAGTGATGATTGCAGTGAGTTATCAGTACTTAGTAGCGTACCCTTTATTTTTGATTACAGCTTCACATCGAACGTTTCATTGAACTGACAAGAGTTTTAAGCTCTTCTTTCGTTATTACATGATGCCAGAAAACAATTATAGCCTCAATTAGTTCCCTTTTGATGGGCGCCTCATTCGGACAAGAGTTTTCAAACGGTGCCACAAATTTTCGATAGGATTGAGGTCAGAACTGTTCCTGGCCATGACAACAATTTAATGCCCTTTGTACGAAACCCACTCTTCGATATTTTGGCCGTGTGGCAAGGAGCAGAATCTGCTGAAAAATAATGTTGGGAAAGAGATCTCTGATGGAAGGTAGAAGTTTTGGTTCTAGAATAGTGTCAATGTATTTTCTGGCATTCAGTGTCCCATCGATGACATGAAGGCGACCAATACCATCTGCTGACATGCATGACCAAATCATAACACTTCACAGTTGCTTGAATGCAGTCAGGATGTAGCTCTTCTCCTATTCTACGTCTTACATATTTTCGCCCATCACCAGTGGCGTAACTAAAACTCTAGGGCCCCAACGAAACACAAAACACACACACACACACACACAAAAAAAAAAAAAAAACCAGGTTTCCAGGAGCCAACATTTTGATAATGATTTTTATCAGATCAGGTTTAATAAGTTAAAAATCTGATATGGAGACACATGACTTTGTATCGTTTATTAAATTACACACATTTTTTTTGCTGCATTTCATTTAAAGTTATTTCCTCGAATAATTTTAACTTAATTTACCCGATCCTTCAAAGAAAGTTGAAAATGACATCAAAAATTGCATTTTTAATTAAATATCCTGTCGATACAA